AGAAATTTTGCAACATTCCAAAAATTTGGCTTGTACCCCAAATGCTCAAAAGGCATTCTAGATCATTCTTTTGTCAAAATATTTAATGCATGTACATGTAAAATGATCGAAACATGCATTTTAACCTCTTCTAACGAATTAAAAACAATATTTACTCAAATTGAGGGGTGCAGTTCCTTGATCAAACTTCGTCTTTTTTGCCTCAAATGGTCACCTTTACTTCTATTTCCCAAACCTACAAAAGAAAAACAACAAAACAACGTAAACATATAATGTAAACATAAAATCACATAAAATTAACATGAATAACAAAAACATTGGATTGCCTCCCAACAAGCGCTTTTGTTTATAGTCGTTGGCTCGACTATGCAACCTCATTTTTCAAGGAGGCTTTGTTAATAAATAATCCACCTTTTACAGGATCATTAAAAGGTGACTTTATAACAAAAACTATATAATCGAATGACGAGAGAGATGAAAGTGGCTTACCTATCTCAAATGAGTCATAGATATTACCTTGAACATGCACTACTTGAGAACTCACCAAAGGAACATCAGCCTGGCTTTCTTAGGGAATAATACCTTTAAAACTTGTATTCTCAATACATTCCTCAAGAGGGGTGAAAAATGAGTCGTTAAAGCTCACATCTTGAGATTCAAAATTAGCTCCAAAGGTACTATCATGTGAAATGGACTCTTTTCATTGAAACACATATTAGATGCATCATTTTCACTAAAATATAATCCATTTTCACATACAACACTCCCACCATTCATGTTAGGATTATTTTGCATATCATTAGAAAAAATAATTTCACACAATACATGCAATTGCTCTTGGACTCTACCAAAGTGAGAAGTTAATTCAACTAACATTTCCTTGACTGTATCAAAATGGTCGGAGGTTGCATTTTCTAGCTTTTCTATATAGCTAACTCCTAAGATGGTTTCGAATCATTAGCTAATAGTTTACTTTCTAGTTCCAAAGGTAAAGATGCATTAGCTAACCTTTCTATTGCCAATTCCCAAGATGATTTTGATTTATATTAGACACATTTGGGTTGGTAATCAAAAAAACAAGGAGAAGTAGTATATGCACATTGATTATTCCAACCATAGGCATGAGAATTGCCCCAATTAAGACCATATTGATCAAAATAAGGATTGAAAATGCCCTAATTCATCAAAATAATCCACATTGTGTGCTTGCCTATATGTATTAGTAGCATGATAACCTTCACACAAGTCATAAATCATATGATTAGAATTAAAAGCGTTAGCATTCATCTTTTGTTCAATCTCATGTATAATAGTGTCCATTTGAATTTGTAACATTATAACATCAAGTTTTGCCTTTAAGTACCTTAAACCATCTTCAAATGACATACCTTCAATAATTTCTTGATTACCTCTATTTAAGGAGTTTTACACGTAGTAACTATCCGTTGCCGATCTTCCACTTCTCAAGCATTGTCTCCTCATATTTTCTACTCTCCTTAAACCCCTAAATATGCTTTCAAACTAACTCAAAAACACGTTTAGTCAAGAAGAATAGGTGACTCTAAACATATGAAAAAAACATACACAAAGACTCGAAAAAGATGCTAAAAACAAAAATTAAAACACTAGACACAACAAACACAAGAAAAACATGTAAAAATGTCTTAATTAATAAAGTTATTCTTAGCACCGATGTTGAACAAATCTTCCCCGGTAATGGCGCAAAAAACTTGATGAGCGCGGGATATACATACAATAATTAGTTCATCCACAATCAAGGGAGTAGGATGGAGAGTTGGATCTCATATGACAAGGGTGACTTCTCTCCTATCACTTTCTTTTTGGTATTTGAGTTCATATTTAGTTATAATACAGGTATGGTTTTGCTAAAATTTATGCTTTGAGTTATGGATAAACTTACTATATCCCGTTAATGATATTTACTTGGTTATTTGATAATATTATTTTGAGTAAATTATTTAGCACTTTTGTTTATCTAATCATGATTAACTGGTCATTAATTATGATAATTTTAAGGTGTTAAATTTATAATGAAAATTGAAATTTAACACTAGTTCAAGAAAGTACTAAACCTAAAGAGTACACTCGCGAAAGTAGAGGTGCATTTTTGTGGCTTTAGTGACTTGTTTCATGTAATTTCATAGAAGGAATGAGATTGTAGTTAATTTCATAACCACGAGAATAGGTATGGTTTAGTTACAAGTATAGTTGAATCACTACGAGAGTATGTTTCACATACATTAGGAAATTACGCCATAACTAGCCAAGATAATCACATTTAATTAACCGGTAATTTCACTAGCAAGAATAGTGAGAAATTTCATAGCACTAGGAGTTTTCTATTATTATTTGTATTACTTTTATTTCATGTTCGTATTGTAGATTTAATTTCTTACACTTGTGGTAGTCTAAATAATAAAGAAGTTCAAAAATCATCGGTAATTGACAATCTTTCTTGTGGAATCGACACCTAATATCCCCTATGCTCAATAAACATCCTATATACTTGCAGAAAATGAGATGTTTAGGTTCTATTAAAATTTGGTGCATGATAGAACCTCGTAATAAAACACTATAATTTATGCCCTATCAAGTATGAGTAGTTGAAATAACAATTTTCACACACACACTTATGTACGTATATATATATGTGTGTATATATATGTATATGTTAAGGAGATCTATTGCATATCATAACTTCAAGTTAAATTTACTATTGTATAGTAAAATAAGGTTTTTCAATTGATAAATGCTTATTGTGTACTATATTTTGTGGCACTTTTTAGAAGTTTTTTAGTTATTTTCTTCTAGAATCAAGAGTTCAAGTGGAACTTTTCTTAAGAATTAATTGCTTGAGTATAGTTTGATTAATGTTTTTATGTTTGTCCACTATTACTCATTTTGTGTGATTGCATTTGTAGAAATAGGGATGAGGATAATGAATATATCAAGTTGCCAAGTCGAGGAATGATGCAAGAAGCATTGAAGCAAGAAAATTGATAGCAGCGTAGAGCAAAAAATCCAGACATCAAATCGGTTCAAACTCAGCCAATTTCTTAGCTAGTTATCTACAGAAACCGACCATGAAACCATGGGAACAAGACTGGTTCTTTCACTGGCTCAGCCAAAATTTTGATGCAAGTTGCACAACTTGTGCAACTTGATTTCTTTTGAAGCTACTTTTTCTTGCTTTTGATTGGAGATTTGACAAGATACTTTGGTGACTAGAAGCCAAGCTCAAGCATCATCAAGAAATAATTTTATGTCACTTCAAATCTTCTTGATTTCATTAAACCACAAATCTTGACTTTTGAAGCTAATTTTGTCAAAAGTTCACATTGGAGAAGATACAAAGAAACTTGAAAAATTCTCTATAAATGCGAATTTCTGTCTTTCATTTGAACTAAGCTTGGAGCTTGGAGCAAAATAGAAAATCACTAAAAATGTAGCTCTTAAAATGCAAAACTCTTAATAAACTAGTATAGGTTAGTCTAGATTTTAGTTTGTTCATTCTTTCTTGTGTAATAGCTAAAAAAGGATGAAGTTGAATGAAAAAGGTAAGGAGAAAGCTCACGTGACAAAGTTTTTTCTTCCTTCCCAACAATTTATCTTTTGTAATTGACTCTAAGTTTGATTATTACACTAGTTGTATTGATTATGTGTTTCTAAAAGCTATCGAGAGTTATCAATGAACTTTCGAAAAGGTTATTACCTAAAGTTATGGATGAACTTTTTATATCTTATTTGTGATACTTACTTGGTTATTTGATACTATTATTTTGGTATAGTTATTTAGTTTGCAGTTATGATCCTGATTAATTGGCCATTATTTTTTATAATCTCAAGGTGATAAATTTGCAATAAGAGTTGGGATTTAACACTAAATCAAGGAAGTATTAAATCTAAGAAGTACACTTACGAGAGTAGGGGTATACCTTTGTAAATATGGTGGTTTATTTTATGTAATTTCATAGATACTAATGAGTATATGGTCAGTTTCATAATCACGAGAGTAGATATGAATTAGTTATAGGCTATGAGAGTATGTTTTACATACATTGAGAAAATATATCATAACTTAGCCAAAATAATAACACTCAATTAACTGGTAAATACATTGTAAGAGTAGTTAGGGATTCCATGATTTTACTATTTTAATTTCATGTTTGTAGTTGTAGATTTAATTCTTGCATTTGAAATAGTCTAAATAATAAAGAAATTTGAAAACCGCTGGTAATTGATCATTTTTTCCTATGGGATTAACAGTCGAGTACTTGCTATATTTATGTACAACCCGAATCCTTTCAATAGCAGGTGTTTGATTTTAAATAAAGCCTCTCATCATTAATTCTAGTACCTATGGTTGAGGTCTCAGAATTTAGAGGTCTTAGTTTTAAATCCCCTCTGCCCCTCCCCACTTCTTATAGACCATCGAACCTATGTTACAAATGTTGGTAATAGTTTGTAACGAGAAAGTTGAAATTCATTGTCCCACATTGAAAGAAGATAGAGTGCTCATTGTCTATATATGCTTCCTTGTCTTGTTTCCTTAACAAACTTGTTCCAAAATATTAGTTTGGAGGGAAAGTTTGGTGGGAAAGTTAGGCTTTCTGATTAGAGGTAGTTAATGACAGTTACATTTAGCAGACATATCTGTAAAATGGTTAACTACCTATACACCTATTCAATAAGGATTACATCCTTTGATAGTGCCTTGGATAGTTGCTTCAATTCTTTAAAATAGTAGGACTTTGACAGAATTAATCACTTTTTTTCCTTTCATTTGATAGTTCTTAGACTTTATTATATCATAGAGGTAATTTGTCTAATATAGAGGCAAATAACGCCTTAAGCAAAGTGTTTTTCATGCCTCAAAGTCTCTGCATTTGTCTAGTTTAGATTAGTTATTTAATACTTTCTCAATAAGAAAAAAGTTAAAAGAAAATGGTTTTTCAACCCTTAGATTCTAACAATTTCGATTATTACAAATACAGAGCAGTACCATCATTCAATTATAGCAATTCAGGGAATGATTCCGTATGGCAATCGTAGAATTTTTCAAAAATCAAAAGCAAGTTTTGCTAAATGAAAGATTCAACACGCATTAGCAAACAAATTGCCAAGTCATGCCTCCCTGCTAAATTTTAGATGCCACTGTAGGTTTTGAGGGCAAATTGAGCTCCTTTTCCAGCCTCAGTGCGGAGGAATGAGAGGAATTCAACATTATCAAATGGCTTGAATAGCAAGGGGTGCTCTTCATCTACCAGTTCTTCTGGGGCTTTTATTATATACCCTGCTTTTGGCATTGAAAATATACCAGCTGAGTACCTTGCTATATTTCCAGTCATCATCACCCGGTGAAAAGGACAGTGCAATCGGCCATTTGTCCATGCCTGCCAAAAAAGAAGAAAAATAAGAGTGGTCATTAATTATGTTGGTATACATTAAATTGATGAAAATACAATCATTTTATCGTTGGGAAAGGCACTAATTGTTTATTGATTTTTTTTTTTATAGGAATACTTAAGATCATTCGTTTGACTTTCAAGTCCTTCCATCTCTTTCTTTTCTTTTCTTGTAAAAGTTGGAGTCTCCACCATAAAAAATATATCTAAACTTCTCCAATTATTCATTCCTGGGTAGCAAACACTATTACATAATTCCATCATCCACTAGATATCTACAAACCAGTTCCACATAACTTTCCACCCAGACAATTTCACAAAAATTTTAGATGAATTGTGAAAATGTGATGTCAATTTTAATAAAAATAATTTCTATAAATGTATTACATTTATTTAGTTCCACCCATCACATTTCCATTAATCAATCACTATTTGTAAATTATTTATAACTCTCCTGTAATTTTATATAATGCCAGATGATCCCTCTAAAGTTTCAAAATAACCACATAACTCCCTTATGGTCTTATATAAAGTGGAAAATAGATACAATGTACAATCAGTTACAACATTTATGTCAAATGCACTCTAAAAGCGCATGTGGTCAAATCTTAATATCCATGTAACTCCTTTATGATTTGTATAAATATCCACTTTATCACCCCTATGGTTTTTACATTTATCTACATAGTTCTCCTACACTTTTATATAATTAAGAGGTCGATTGATTTAGCATTTAAGTAGGGGAACTATTAATATTTCAATTAATGACATAACATAGGTTATTTTTCAAATTTTCACTTTACAAAAAACCATATGGGGTGAAGTGAACATTTTGAAACATTGGGGGATCATTGGCTATAGACGAAACTACAAGGGGGATTATATGTAATTTACCCATCAAACAATTATAGCTTATAACAAGCTAGAAGTTATTTTATGATTTCTTTTTAACTTTCATTTTGAGCTTCATGATCTGAAATTCCAAAAAAGGTTTTAATTCTTTAAAGCTTTGAAAATGGAACTTTGCTTTGAGAACCAACTTTTTTTTCGAAAAAGGTAATTTCTTTTTTAGGGTAACTTTCAAGTTGTTGAGCAAAAAAGGATGGCAACGGGGTGGGGTTGGGGCGGGGGACCTCTCCCCCATCTCCCGTCCCGCTGCCTATAAATTCCCCCTGCCTCCGCCCCGTCCCCCATCCCGTCCTCGCCCCGCCCCACTTCCTCCGCGGGTGCTCCGTGGGGTTAATAAAAATTTGTTATATAATTTTATGATAGTTAAATTTTAGTAAATAATCAAGTACTAAAATATCAACACATCACCAAATTATTATTCATTGTAATTTCATGTTGAAACTTATAAAAACAATCAAACAAAAGTTTTTTTTATTTTTAGTGTAAGTAAGAGGACTCGAACCCGAGACTTCACGCTTACACTCCCTCCCCCTGTACCACCCAACCCATCCCTCCTCCCCCAAACAAAAGTTATTTGAATACAATCTAACATGATGAAATAAATACAACTAAAATAGTTAAGTCTTCACTTTTGCACAAATACAATCACTTATTCATTATTGTGCTTGTGCTTTTTTTTGAGAAATAATGTTATTGTATTAAATGTAATTAGGGATTTAGTATAAATGCATTAGCAAATTTAGTATAACCAATTAATAATTTGTATTAGTACACATATATAATTATTAGTATAATTGATAATATCAATTATATTACATATACTAATATACATTATATAATACATATAACTAATAATATCATTATTATAAGTTTATAACTAATTAAATTATATATTATATAATCATATACATATATTTTTATATATTTTTATTTTTTAAAGCGGGTGGCGGGGCGGGAGTAGACTCCCCCACCCCCACCCCATTTCTAAGCGGGGGGGAAAAAATTCCCCTCGTCTCCACCCCAACCCCCTCCCTATTAGCCCCCCGCGGGGCGGGTGGCCGCTTAAGCAAAATGTTTAAGCTTGAGCTTCTAGTGTCAATTTTCAAATCCCAAAATTTTATTTAACTTTTTAAAAAATTTTTGGTACTTCCTAATCCATGCCGATTGTGAATTGGTTTATAACATACAACTTGTATAAATGCATATATCCACATTTACACACTTTTTTATTTAACTTTACTTTTCCAAAACGCTAATACTTGGACATCTCTTAATTAGTATTGATTCGGCATACGTTAGACAAGGCTATAGTAATTTGTCTAATGTTGGTTCATTTACTTTATTTAACTATTATGTGGCTAAGACCACGCTTTCCTTTTTATTTCTATTTTTTAGTACATGATTGAAACATTTAAATGCAAGAAAAATGTAACTGGCCTAGATGCTTGAAATTTGTTTCCACTTTTGAATTTGTTGGAGGAGTTTTACACTCTACCTCATTAACACTTAGTCTGTCTATCGCTTTATTTTCTAACTATTTTTTGATTTACTAAACCCCTAATACTAACGTTCAAATCAAAAGATGTAATTAATAAGGAAAAAGCCAAATCTGGTTTTCAATAAACAAAGGTTATTTACACTTTACCCTTTACCCCTAATCTTTAGTGCCTGTTACACTTTAGCTTCTAATGTTCTTTTTTGGTCAATTAAAATCAATAAAATTGACAATATATTAGGGAAAAACAGAAAAGTATAGAACCAACAGCAAAAGATGATTGAAATCCTTGTACCGTGGAAAATAATTTGATTACGAATTTTGTCATTCACTGACAGTTGCATCCCATAATTAATTGCATCCTTCCAATTTGAACACATCTGGAGTTCTGGACCGTGTGTAGAATCCCAATCCCTCTTAATCATTATTTACTGGGGCATCTATCAGACAAACACATGTAATCTATGTAATGCTGATTTATTTATTTCATTTAATTTTTCTGTAGCTAAGATCATGTTTTTAGTTTTATTGATTCAATAAGGATAAATTACACTTTACCCCCCGTGGTATAGCTAATTTTCACATAACCCCCTTTAGTTTTAAAAACCATATATAATCCTCTCATAATTTGGATTAAATTGTCAAGATAATGGAAATGATCATCCGTAATAAAACTATGAAAAAGTCAAAATTACCCTTGTTTAAAAACTAAAACGACTTAAGCGATCAAAATATATAAACATAATATATATGACAGTCTAACCCCATATAATTTTCTATTTTATCATATAACCCCCTTATACCTTAATAGTTTATCATATAACCCCCTTGTAGTTTGCAATATATATACATTAACTCCCTGTGGTTAATAAATAATTTTTAATTTTACATAAGAGTATTTTGATAGTTTAGTTGATTCGGTTATGGATTGCAAATTCTGTCATTTTGACATTTTAATTCAAATTATGAGGGGGTTATATATAACTTTTGAAACCACAGAGAGGTTATGTAATAAAATACTAAACCACCAGGGAGTAAATTGTAATTTGCCCATTCAATAAACTTCTTCTACATCAATGTTGAACTTCGTAATTGCAAGTGAAGAAATAATTGATCGAAATGCATGAATTCTGTATGTAACAATTCAAAAGTTTTGAGGGCGATTCTCAACCCTTTACCTCTTTACATTTACTGCTTTATCACTTTGTTTCCTGAATTTTTTTTTTTTTTTTGGGGTTACTTAATCCTGTACACTAGTGGAGTAACTTGGATGCAAAAACGAATTTTATCATTTAGTTAACAAATGGGCTTTTAACATCTTAACTCCAAGTCTTAGCGTTTGTATCACTTTAGTTCGAAGTGTTATTCTTTTGGTTAATCCAAAAAGAAAAATTGAGAAAATACAGGAAAAAAACAACACGATTCTTCCTTGATTCATAAGAAATTTTTTGATTTACAAATTTTAAGGATGAAGTAATGAAAATTGATTTAACGCAGAAACTTATATAGCCCAAAGTATTAAAAATCACGTCAGAGAATGAAGTGTCAGAAGCGCTAGAGGTTAAGGGATAAAGTGTTAAAATCCCATTTATGAGGGAATATAAGAATTTAAAGTTGCACGATATTGGAATGCAGAGTAATTATAAAGAACTAATATTTGAACTTCAACATCAGTAAATGTTGACCGTTAATTTTAATTTTCAACTCCAAATAAGTAATCTTAAGTTTAGGCCTTTAGTAAAAGTGCAAAATGCTTTTGGATATGGACGCAAGGCTTCATCCTTAATTCTTCACTTTGATGAGTGCTTTATTTTGGTAGATTAACCAATTTCCTTCACATACTTCTTCATCTTTTCTCTTCTGTCATTTTTGCTTCGCAATATTTTGTATTTAAATATCAATGACCATTGTTATGACAAAAACACGTATGAATTTAAGGAATACTTACAAAAAGGGCATCTCCAATCATGACAGTGAAGGAGCCTGGAGAGGGTTCGACATCAATCCAATGTCCATCTTTTGTGAGAACTTGCAAACCACGTATTTGATCTTGGCACAAAATGGATAGGATGTTCTTGTCAGTGTGAGCAGGTAGTCCAACTTTTGTCTCAGTTGTTTGAGGCCCTTCGTACTTCATAGCTCTAAGAAGGTAATTTGTTAATTCCATGTGCTCATCCATGTATTTCTCTAAACCTAGGCTCTCCAGTATCATCCTTCTCACAATCTTATCTAATTCTGAGATTTGCTCCGAGTAGGAATGCACAGTCTTGCTGCATATTGAGTAAGAGTTTATCAAGAAACTTTTTTTTTTTTAATGAAATTGTGCACAGAAAACTCATTTTTGTATTGGAAATTTTAAGAAAATATCACTATAGCATTTTTGGATTAAATGTGTTTGTGAGGTAAATATTAGGAGAAATGATTAAGGACATGATTCAAATATATAATATATCTTTACCAGAAATTTGAGTTCCCCTCAGGCCATAAGAGATCAGTGAAGCTTTCAACTTTTTCAAGGATGTTTGCATCATCAAGACCCATGCTCTCATACAGTGGAAAAATTGGATATTGTCCAATGTAGCCATGGTAGATCTTCTTAGATGCGTTTCTTTGCTTAGTCTGCAAAGGGAGGTTGAAAAGCTCTTCTAAGGCTTTGAAAAATGATTTCTGAAGTTCAAGAGAAATTTTGTCATACATGGCTTCGAAGCAGCCAAATTCTTCAAGTGCTTTTCGGACTTGACCTTTCACTGAATCCCACTCTGGATTTCCTGGTTTCAATCCCGGTTGGGAGAAATCTAAAGCCGGAAGCTTTATGGTTTCAGAATCCATTTCCTCACAAATTCCTCCTCTTTTTTTTTTTTTTTTGGTTTCCTTATTTCTATTGAAGCAGTGGTTGATGAAGTTTTTTGAAACAGTGAAGTGTACGATGTTTTTGGTATGTTTTATAGGCAATCATGTCATGTACAATCACAACTCAGAGTTCGTTAAGCAGTCATACTCGAGTCTTATGGACACATAAAGTGCTAATTAATTTCCAATGATTCCTATGAGATAATGTTCCTAACTATTCAATGTTTGCAATTAGCTAAAGCCAATTGATGGTGATATAGATCAGATTTCAGAAGATTATTTGGCCAAAATGGATAGCATTAAGGGTGGAAGGAAGAATGATAATCTAAATGTTAATTTCCGTTTTATAGAATGTTAACCACCCTTCAAGTTTCACAATAAGCGATGACTAACACGGGGACAAGCTTCCATGACGCTGGGTATATTTCACCAAAATTCTACAGAAATGTAAATATTGGCAAAAGCCTGTAATGTATTTGCATATTCATACTGTGCTCGTTCTGGACAAGATATTATTAGGTAAAAATAGATAGTTAAATTACATGACTTTGCTTGAAGAAAATATGCTCGGTATGTACAGGATGGGAACTATGACAATAATGCTTTTACCACGAAAAATCAATCATCAATGGTGTTTTGGGCGAAGTAAGTGGAAGGGACTTGCGACCCTAGTATGACAAACAAAGTTTGAATCCGTCTAAAAACACTTTGTTTAGAGGTATCTCTTTGTTATAAAGGAGAGAGTCCGACAAAATTGTGGGGATGACGCATTTTCCTATCTAACCATATTCCTACCAAAAAAAAAATACGGATAATAACTTTTTCACATGATATTAAAAAAAAATTTCCATACAATGTATATTGAGGGTAGACCGTGTGAATGTGCCTTTTTTATGTTCCCATCCCATCGATCTATGTTGGGCATAAAATTTACCAGAACAAGGAGAAGTCACCACCTCTCCTGGTGGGGTGGGAGGTCAGGGGTTCAACCCTTGCCTCCCACCAAATTGTCTACTTCTCATGAGTAATTTGGTTGATCTCAATAAGTCTCCTTAGGAGTTGGTGTCCAGTGCCCGCAAGAATTCGAATCTTGTGGTTATCGTGTTCGGGGGAATGGGGCCTCTCCTCCTAGGTCGAAGTAGGATTAGTCGGGCCCCATAAGGATTGACCCGGACACCCACTCCGTCAGCAAAAAAAAAAAAAAAAAAAAAAGTCCTGGATAACCAAGCAAACTCCCAGGAATATTACATGTTATCACTGGTAATTTAATCAGCTGTTACGAATACAAGGAGGTCCATCAAGGGTCACAAGACTCAAAAACCAGGTTGGTCCTCGTCAGCACTGACAATTGGAGACGAAAGCATGGAAATTAAAATGCTTTGAAAGTACTTAATAGATAAGGAATATGAGGTTGTTGCGGAGATGGACAAAATAAAAAAGGTCATAACAGAGACGAACAAAGGCAAAAGGATCTTGACAGCTAATGAGACAAATAATTGCATTTTTATTTCTGGGAACTGCGACCAACTAGGATTGATTTATGATATTATCTATGCGGATGGCCTTATATGTGCAAAAATCTATTTCATTGAAGAACATCCTATCAAGCTTTACCTCACCACCATCAAGAATAATCTTCATCTATAGCCATTGATGCTGCAAAATATATATTGAAACAATGTATTTTTGCAATTGCAAGAATATAGTTGGTGACTTAAGGAGTAGGGTCAAAGATCCTACATCGGTCAATAGCGAAGAAAGAATTTAACTCAATGAGGGGTCTGCCGATACCACATGAGGCGCATTTTTAAAGGTCAAAATCATGAGAGCCAATGGGCCAAAGCGGACGATGTCTCAATCTCACACGAACCGACAGACCATTGACTCTAGCATAAACATAATGGGGCCATCTATGAATTTTCGAGCATCCCGCATCCCTTGATAATTAAGAAAGAGTCTAGTTCATAATGCAAAAGGTCCGCCTCTAGCATGTGAGGCGCAAAATTATTCCCATACTAAATCAAGCCTACAATGGAAGTTTCTAAATTGTCATTTAGATGTGTTTTAGTCAAGTCAAGTTTTTAGTAGTTTTGTTAGAGTTAAATTACGGTAGTTTTATTGTTTAGAATTTAGTATTTTATTAGAAAATTTCTTGTAGTCGTAAGACTTATTTGCCAAATCATCTAATTTATAAATAGGGAATCTTATTGTTGTATAGAGTAAATTTTAGGGTTATTATAACTTTACCCCTTTAACGTTATGTTTTAATCACTTTACCCCCAAGACAAATGGTTTAACTTAACGGAATTTGTTAATTAAGGTGAAAAGACATGTTTAACCCTTAAAATAATTATCACTTTACCCCCATAAACTATAGTCACATTATCAATTTATCCCATAGAGTTATTTTTTAGGCAATTTATTTTATCATTAAACCAACTTAGCAAGTTAAAAACTTTAAAAGCAAATACCCTCCTCTTTGCATAATAAAAATAATAAAAAATTTAGAGTGACTCTTGTCCTTTTTAGTATCAAGAAAAAAAGTCAAAAAATGCATTTCTTTCTTCTTGGCAATCTTATTAATATTGAAAAAATAGAAAGATGGAGAAGAGAAGGAGAGAGGGAGAGAGAGAGAGAGAGAGGGAGCTCAATTCTTTTTTTAAAAAAATTACAAATAAGAAAGAATTGAATACTTTTATTATTTTAAAATTATTTCACTTTTCTATTCACTACCAAATTTCAATTCTAATCTCGACAATCTTAAAGTAATACGATAATGTTGTACTTTTCTTTATTTTCTTTCTTTGCAAAATCTAATTTTCTGTCTCCTTATTTCCCATCTCTTTTTCTTTTTCGAGTATTAATAAGTGTGAAAAACGAAATTTGAGCAAAACCCTTTTATTTTTATGTTTTTTGATCTCTTAAAGTGAAAAAAAGGAAGAATAACCATTTCAACTTTTTTATTTTTAGTTATATATAAAAAAGGGTAAATATATTTAAAAATTTTTGACCATACTAATTGGATTAATGATGAGGTAAAATGCCTAAAAAATAATGTTAAGAACTAAAGTGATTGTATCACTATAATCTAAACAAATAAAGTGATAACAACAATACAGTAATGCTATAAAATAAAAGGATATTTTTGTCTACAATTTCTTAATATGTTGAGTTGAATTACATATGGGGGTAAAGTGACTAAAAGATAACGTTAGGGGGTAAACTAATAGTAGTGATATAGTTTAAGGGGGTAAAGTGATAATAACCCTAAATTTTATATACATTGTTAGTGTATACACTATCACGATTGAATGGATGACAAATGAGCAAATTTTAGATTTCAAATTCAAATTTTACACATGTGGCATATATCTAATGGTGATAGTGTATATAAAATTAATCCTATTATATAAGGGTGAAACTTTGAGAGACTTTTTATTATGTGTAATTAATGATATATTGTTGATTTATTCCTCTTTCTCCCACACATACTTGTATGTGGGTAAATTGCTTCCCTATCATCCACCCCATATATATTGGTTATATTAAATTTATCTCCTACAAAATTTTGGTGGAATTTTTTGGATTCTACATCTAGTGTTAGAGCCCTAGATTCAGGAAATTGATCTTGGAGTGATTGTGAATATTGAAGAATTGTCCCGACTACGAAGTTAGTCTTGGGTGTTTTTCGCTATCAGAGTTAGAGCAAAATATTCTGTAAAAAAATCATTTGATCGAGTTAGACCACAAGGTTGGTCTTGAAGTGCGTTATTGGTGAAGAATTCGATCATAAGATTGGTCCGAGAATTGGCAAATTATTGCGGATATTATAACAATGATTGGAGAAGAATCATGTCAGTTAAGCTATGATTATTAGAATCACAAAGTGAGTTGTCATCAAATTGTGTGACGAAAATAGTCTATCCGAATGCGTGCATTATTGTAGCAAGTTAAAAAGGAATTGAGCGACTAGATGAATTTGTCCAGGTGCGTGGAATATTCTAGCAATAAAAACTTGAAGATGAAGAGTTCAAATTGATGTCTGCAGAATTTGCAAAGAAGATTATTGACAGTGAGGATGGTAAGCCTGATTCAAAAGAGAGTTTGATTTAATGGAGGCAATGTTGGCATACTAAATTAAGCCTACAAAATAGAAGTTTCTAAATTGTTAATTAGATGTGTTTTAGTCAATTCAAGTTTTTAGTAGTTATATTGGATCAAGTTATGGTAGTTTTATTGTTTAAAAATTAGTATTTTATTAAGAAATTTCTTATAGTTGTAAGACTTGTTTACCAAGTCATCTAATATACAAATAGAGAATCTTATTATTGTTGTCGAGAAGAGTAAAACTTTGAGAGTCTTGTTATTTCGTGTGATTAATGATATATTGTTGATTTACTCCTCTTTCTCCCACACATACTTGTACGTGAGTAAATTGCTTCCCTATCATCCTCTCCATATAAAGTGTTTTTATAAAATATATCTCTTATATATTTTTGGTGAACCTTTTTGAGTTCTACAAAAATCCTAAGGACCAATGGACCAAAGCGGACAATATCTCACATAAACTCACAGACAGATTCTAGCATCAACAATAGTATACAGGAAGTGTTAAATCTCAAACCCATACTTGCCAGGCATGCCCCAATTACCATATCTTCAAGACACACTCCGGCAAAAAGTACAAGGCAATATGAACAATAAAGCTGTAAATGACCATGTGAAATCATAATAGGTAACGTAGTTTACCTTAAATGATTAGCCTGAAAGTTATTCTCATGGGCAAAGTCTTACTAACCAAAAAAAAAAAAAAGCTCGTTGATTGCCAATGATGCTCTATGAAAATTAAATTTTTAAACAGTTCGGTATCCAAATTAGCTAAAGTTCTTTGTCATTCCTACTAACTCGTGTTTTAAATCTAATGTTGCCAAAACTTGCTGATGTCGATCCAAATGTATAAGATTCATGGGTTAAATACCAAAAACCCCCATGTGGTTTGCCTAATGTTCACTTTACCTCCCTATGGTTTGGAAACCTACAATTTGACTCCCTATCGTTTCAACTAAAGTAAAAGTCTAACGGAAAC